CTTTAGACAGAGGTAACGAGATTCGTCTAAATTCTGTGAGAATTTAGCGAATATCTTTTAACGAATATGAATTCCCATGAAGACGTCAGTATTTTTCTACGTATTTCTATTTTGCAACCTTCCCACACTTTAATTTGTCAAGTGCAAGACCTTTTGCCAAAAGTTGTCGAGAGAGACAAAAAATGCCTCTAATTGATTTTTTTTTTTTTTGATCACGCCAATTATTCACAGCCAATGATGAATAGCTTGGCGACTGGTTCAGCTGTATAAGATAATTATATGCTGTTAAATCTTTATTTTTAACCAATTCAAATGGACTATTAGTGAGTAATTATGGTCTATATAATTTATGTTCATAATTAGCATTTTCTAGTATATACACGTTTATTGGTTGCGTTATTAGTAAAAATATTCTACGGTGTATTTTATATGGTAATATAATTTGTTTTATGATTGCAAGATCCTATAGATATGGCAGAAATATACATACAACTAGTCCTAATTAGTGACGGAACATAAAAAAGAAAATACATAATTAAATATTTCGAGAAAGAATGTTCTTTTATGGGAGTTATCGACCGGTTAACAAGAAGACACTTAATTCGTTTTAATCAATTCAACTAAAATACTAAATACGCCGTTAATGTCGTGATTCATTTAATTGTTAAATAGAAATTCGATCCAATATACTCCCAGCTAAGGACTAGTCTGCATACAAATTTAACTTTACCTAGTAACCGTCTGGAAATCAATCCCACTAAGAGTCAAAACAAATTTAATCTAGTTCTCTCATTTCAAAACAGATCTCGCATTACCACGAAGCCATCGGCGGTAATTACTTTGCTGCTGTTGACAAGGATGCTGAGAAAGATGCAAGATGGCGACCCGGCTGACCTATACGTCAAACGGACCTAGAAACATCTGTTCGGAAGTTAATTTGACGGGGAACGAAGTGGAAAGTATTTTAATAATATTTTCAATGCGATATTTAGAAGACTTCTTAAGAACCAAAACATTTTTTTTGTATCATTTGTTTTTTTGGAACAAGATAATAAAAGATTTATTTCTATTTAATATATTTTTCTTACCTAGTATAATTCTCTCGTTTGATAATATCTATAAAAAACGGTATAAACAAAAATAGCATGTTCCTTCAACTATATTATTCCCAAGCAAAGCCGGTGATTATTATTCCCGTGCCTGACAGGGACGCGAATGGCGGGTATTTCCAAGATGGCGACCTGGCCTGACCCTTACGTCAAGCACGAAACATCTGTTTTAACATGTCCGACTGGCGGGTAATAAGTAACCTCGAATTTAGAACGATTTTTTCTTATTTTCCCGAAAAGAGTTTTTGGCGTTGTTGCAAGGTTTAAGAATTCGTTTGATGCTTTAATAGTGGATTGTTTAAATTGTTTAAGAAGAACCGAGGAAATTGCATGGGAAGATCTTTTGAGAATTTGTGGGTTATTTGCGAAATAACTTTAACTCTCACCAAACTAGGAAAAATTGTATTGAGCAGACATTCATAGTTTTCAAATAGTATAGGAGAATTTATTTCTAGACAAATTCGCCCAGACTTCTCACCGCAATATTGCCGGCAGGATGTTGAGACTCATGGGACATTTTTTTCTCGACCAGAATCAGTTCTCAGAAACTTAAGAGGTTTATGACGTCGTGCTGTCACCAATTTTTTGCTCTCATAATTGATATAGCTAAACTACACGCCCACAATGTTGACATTTCGAGGTAAATTAGAAAAAAGTAATATTTTTAGCAATAGGATTTATTAGGGCAAAAAATTGGGAGGTAAAACTTATGTTGAAGATTGCAAAGATTATTGTTTTAAGGACACGTTGATCTTGATAGATTTTGTATGAAACTATTGATTCTCTTAGGCGTTTCTAGCTGAACACCTTAAACGCCATGCGATGACAAGGTATGGGCCACGATAGCGGAGGATTTACCCTTAACACTTTTCTGTCGGCAGTCAAAGGCTTAAATGATTTTTTAAACAGTTGTTATTACTATTTTGCTTTACTGAACACTAAAAAAGCTAGATCTAAGGGTAGGGAAAGCGTTACTTTTTATATTTAGAACTTCTCAGGAAGCAATAATCATCTATTAAGGACATAGTGTGATGTGATATTATTTTTATCACATTATCTAGGTATTTTGCTGACATTAATTTACTAAACGAAAAGGTCACGTAGTTTTTGATATTCCCAATTAATACAACGCTACGTGTGACCTTTAGTATCTTTGACAACGTTATATAAATAAATAATTAAAACTTTCATCGTTAACAAATTGGCACACGAATTTAAAAATCAAAAAAATATCTCGTTTACTTTTAACATACATAATGTAATCAAAAAGTCTAATATTAGTTTTAAACCTAGTACGAATCCTGTAAGAAAATTGGACAAGACAGACTTTTAATTTCCGTTTACCGTCTACTGCCAAAGCAGAAATAAATCTAGTTCCTTCGATTGTTCATTCCTTGTTTGTAAAATATTTTGCTTTTAACCCACATTACAACAAGAATAATTACAAGAAGAATCCTCGGTTTTTTAAGGGAAAAGGAATTGTTTTACCCAAGCATTTCGGACGTTTTGCGCGCCGGGCTGTGAAGCAATTTAGGTTAACTAGTAATTTCCCGAGACTCCACTCGCAAATTCTCACGGTAATTAAGGATTCATTTTGAGATCGTGTTGGATATAGGTATTTTACTTTTAATAACTATTATACAGCATGTGTTTGTTGTTACTAGGGAAAAATTCAGAGACAAAGAGCTAGGCTTCAGAACAGGTTATAAGACACATTACGAACTTTATATAAAAAACTGTTAAGTTCAAAAACTATTCAGAAGCAAATCTATTACTATTATTCTTCCTGGAAATTCGTTGAAATTTGCATGGGAATATTAAAGCTAATTTAGGTATAAATTAGCTCAAATTGTAATTCCATAAAGTTCAGAAGCGGACGTAATGGTACTCGAGGTCGCTTTAAGTAATATTATATTCAACCGGTATAAAAATATATTATTCATCCGAAAACTTAGTTTTCAAAGGATTGTCGAAGCGAAATAAACGTAAATTTCTGTGCTAATAGGTTTAAATAATAGATGGAGCCCTTGGGTGCTGTAATCAATAATATTACTTTGTGTTCAACCGGTTAGTTACTGAAGCTGAACCTGAACTGTATTAATAAATAAATTGGACATCAAAGTGATAGATAATGTTCATTATTAATATACGAAAAGGTCTTGCTTTAGTATTCCAGTTTCTATTTATTCTTGTCAGACTAGAAGTTATGTAATATGACATACAACAAACAACAAAAGAAGACAATACACATACTGACTTGTCTTACGGCTAGTTTTTAGCAAAAGAGTCTATTAATTGACACCATTCGAAATGGTTTTACAGATATTTGAAAAGCTAGGATTTTCAGCAATATTTATCCTAATTTAAGATAACAGATCGTAGTGGCTCGGAGGTTTAAGACGCCCACTTCTCATGCATGAGGGTGCAGGTTCAAACTTACCTACGGCAAGTATTAATGTGACTTTTTCCGAGTTATATGTACTTTCTAAGATTATTTAGACACCACTGACAAACGGTGAAGGAAAAGCCTCGTGAGGAACCCTGGGCTTATAATTTCTAATTATAAGTTTGAAATCGCCAACCCGCATTGAGTGGTGATTAATGCTCAAACCTTCTCCGTGTGAGAAGAGGCTTTGCTCAGCAGTGGGCACTTATAAGCTGTTGATGATGATGATGAAGATAACAGATCAACCTTCCATAATCAAGTTACAATCCAGTAAAGTACTATGCAAAGAAAGTCCTTTATAAACACCGAAAACAAACAAACTTTACAACACACTTTAATATTCCCGTTTGCTTTACACACCGCTATTAAAAACCGCAAATTTAATGTCCAAAAACGTATGAATAAAATACGTTAGATGAGAATACAAAATTTTATGGTCTGTAAAATAAGCTGGGTGGAAAAAATTGGATTTATGATAATTTATCTGGATACTAATAAAAATTTGGGTTAGTCTGCCCTGTTGTTATGGGTGAATGTTTTTTCTAACGAGGGGTCGAATTTTGGCATAATCACTAATATGTAACAAAGACGCTTGTGAAGTTTTTCCGTGTCTGCGAACGAGAAAATATATTATAGTCGAAAATTGAAATTTTATCTTTATACATCAGAATGTATCTAAAATTGAGACAAACCAGTGTTTGTCTCAATTCTAGACATTTCATGACTTTATTTATATTATAATTTTTGTGAGACATACTAAATTTATTTATGTATTGTATGTAGTTGTTTGGTTATTTATCTGTTAGTTTTAAGTCTGTTTCCTATCCCAATTTTCTATTTGTTACTACACACTGTGTCATTATATTATTTTACTTTTCCTGCTCCAGGTCCACAGGAAGAAATTCCAATAGGAATAGGTGGTACCTTTGTACTTTAATTTTATGTATGTGTTGTCCTTTATGTTGTATGTGTGTACATAAATAAATAAATAAATAAATAATAAATTAATTTGACAAGGAACTCGACTAGTTTCAAGTCACGCTAGAGGCTCATATTTATGAGGAGTACTTCACTACCCTTGACTCAGCGACTGTCGCATGAGCCTCTAGCATAGCTTGAAACTAGTTTCTCGTATGAATATTACGTAAGTCGAAAAACATAATAATTAGTTTCAGAACTTATTAAATATCTTTTTAACCAGACAATGTTCAAATTATCTTTATCTCGAATTCTGTATCAAGATATAAGGTCTAAACTAAATATCTAAATTGAAAATTTCACACAAAATAATAATTTTAAAACAAAATGTGGAAAAGTTCTTCTAAAGCAAAAAAATCGTCTTAATATTTTAATTGGCTATTTTCTTTTTAATATAATGAGTATTTTCTCCTTAATAATGAACTTGAGTGTTATAAAACAAATAAATGTTATTTAAGTTAACGAACCTCTTAACGTTTTTCGAAATGCGACGGCATCTGAAACAAAGGACGGACAATTAAAATATTTTCCTTATAAAGACGTCATTATGAATTATTTTGGACAAGCCATACTTGAACAATGATTCAGTATAAAATAAGGAATTTATTAATGTTATTTTGTCTTGTAAAATAGCTAGAATTTTTTATACAGTTACTTTAGTTCATCGGTATTGTTTTGATATAAATTATTTAAAATTGAAAAATTTAAATTATTTTGTATCAGTCACAGCCTTAGTTATATTGTTTACTAGCGACCCGCCCCGGCTTCGCACGGGTGCAATATGTATATACATACAAAGCTTCCTTAAGAATCACTCTATCTATTAAAAAAAACCGCATCAAAATCCGTTGCGTAGTTTTAAAGATCTAAGCATACATACGGACATACAGCGAAAGCGACTTTGTTTTATACTATGTATTGATAATTAACTGTACTTACACCTTTAACAACTAAATTATTATAATGTCTTAATTTAAAAACAAAATACAAACTTAAAAAAAAACTAACATTGTTTTGGTCTAGTTTATTAGGTCACGCATGTTTCATTTCTATTAGAATATATTCAAATAAATATTCTTATAAGATTCAGAAATAAAGTTAAGAGAGGTGAATCAGAATCTACATAATATATAGTATAGTTTCTGATTTGGAAAAAGAGAATTGCTTTCACAATAGGCTATATTTTTTTATACAACGAATCGTCGTTGTATAAAAAAATATCCATTCAAACAAATTGCCATCGGGCAAATAGGCACACAACCTAACTGATTGTAAGTGGTTACCGTGGCCTATGAACGCTTGCAACACTTAGGGCATTACACTACACTAAAACCAATTATTTTCAATTAAAGTCAAACAGAAAACAATTATAACGTGATTTCAACCACAATTATGTACATGTGACAATTATACACATTGATAAACATAATATAAACCACAGTGATCAATGTAACAAGGCGTTTAGAATTTGATGGCCTAATATCGAAATCCAATTTAATTGTAGACTCCTCCTATGCTACGGATTTATTTGTGTCCTATTTATGAATAGTGAAGGGATTATTGTAAAGTTCACCTTACAAAATATGATACAAAATTTTTGTTGTAGCTGTTTGTTATAGGACTGACTTGCAGGTTCATATATTGTATTTTGCTTATTTTATGTGCGACTTGTCTTGCAAAGAACGACTTTTCTGGCAATTTAGTAAATAATGATTTAGGAAAAAGAGATAATAATCTGTAGGAAAACCTGCCTAAATCATTTTATAATTTTATTTTATTTTTTCTGTATAGGAAAAATTTACGATTGATAGGAGACTTTTGTAACTCTTTGGTCTAATATAGAACTGTTATAATGACACATTAATTACATTTGTATTACTATTTTCTTGTCACTATCTCTAAACTGTTAAACTTTCTATCAAAGCATGTATCTGTTATAATATTTTGCTTCGGTTGTGCTCATTAAAATTCTAATAATTTCAATGTATCAAACACAGTCTGTCTAGATGTGTTTAACTTTTTATTTTAACTATTTTTGAATAGTATTTTCTAATCTTCATCTATGTATTTCATGATGATACAATCACATTAAACATGACCATCACCAAAGAAATTTTTCTGGCCACCAAAAAAATTATTATCACCAATGACACAGCGTCTTCTATGATTAGGTAATAGGTAAAAACATCTTCTAATGATACCCACTTGGATTCTCTTCACACGTTATCCTGATTACCTGGAAGACGGCCGTGAATATCTATATTTCCCTCTCTTTCTATATCATAATTCCCAATGTTTTTTGTCTTTTTCTCTGTATAAGATTTTACCACAAAGTTCTGGTTTAATAATGTTCATACCAAGATTATGTATCAGTAATACCATTTGCGTTATATATCTTTTTTTCGATTTTCTGTTCCTTTATACATTTGTTTATTACTGAATTTTATTTGATTTTTGGTAATAAATTATTGTGAATTTTATTATAATTGCCTATTGTTTAACTAGTAATTTCAAGTCTCTTTGGTATTATTTCAAATTAACCTTCAGCGAAAATTAACTATAAGTGAACGCTAAATACTTAAATTTAATTGAAATAGAATTAATAACGGGACCTGAATACCTAAGTCGAAGTAATTAAAAATGAAACATCTTCATCTACTTACAATTAAAATAACGAGAAATAATCCAAAACACACACTATATTCATGACGAGACACTTTAAAAACAATTTTGGACAATAATTCAAAAACTTTAATTCATAAATCGTCACTAAACTTGAAAACACAAACTCGAACCATAACAAAACACACTGCACGAGAAACAGGGACGCACATCCGCTCGCGACGGAGCTTCATCGCTAACTGGCTCTCTCCCAGTACGCTAACAACAATACGCACACCACTACAAACGTCTATAGAACGCTTCACGTGCATATGAGTGCGTACATCACCTACGATTCCTACAACTTATACTTCTGACCCAAGACTTTGGTGTGTCCATTTCTGAATTAAGCAATTATGGTTAATTTTGAGGCTCCCCATATTATGTTCGGCCGTGTCGGCGAGAGAAATGTGTTATTTCGTATCATAATTTGTGTGAAGGCATCCGCTTGAGCAGCTGTGAATTATATGCTATACGTGTAATATATTCTTTACTTTTTTTTCTATCCATTATTTAATACTTTAGATGGTTATATTAAAAAGATAGCGGTTGAAAAAGTTTAGAAACTGTTATCTGCTAACGAAGGACGCTTGTTACGACTTAATTGCAGTCTATACATGTTTTTTAATCTCCTATTTTTACTTCTCTTGCAATGTTTAAAATTATACGTCTGTTAGTTACTTCCACTTTACGTGCAGCGAGTTTTTATTCAGTTTGAGCTGGCGCTGACGTTTGAGCAGCAGTTTGTCCTAGCACCTTAGTGACCTGTTTTACTCCGTCAACTCACTAAAGAGCTTTTTCAAAGAATACGCCAACTCCTTTGTGTTTGCTTGCTGCTTTTTTTAGACGAAACGTTCTTAAATCTTCTTTACCAACTTTAATTAAAGCTTTATTCATGCAATTTCAAATTCCAAGAGCAAGATAAATGGAAAAGTTAATCGAAACAAATAGAATATCAGATTTAATTCAATAATAGACATATTATTATAGTGTCTTACAAACCAATCAAATAAAATCAAAACCCATCAAGAATCCTCTCTGTCATCAATCATTCGTTCGTTCAATCGTTCACTCGAAACCGTTGTCAATTCGAATTTAAATTTTCGATGTTTAAAAATTTTAAAATAAAAAGAATATTAACACTCGAACGGCCGGTACAAATTTTAAATCATAAATGGTGTGATTAATGGTTGCCGAGTTTGTTCCAATGACACTTTGCGTCAACGTTGTCTAATTTGATTGGACGTTTTGGTGTATATTACAAGACAAGGCGGGGCCTATGGAGTGTAATTAAAAATCATAGATAGTTATCACGCCAACCAGGCAAGTATCTGGTGGGTTATAATTGTCGGGAATTCAGCTTCGGTATCAAATGAGCGTATGTACTGTTGTATGGGGTAGATGCGTGTTTTGAATTAGGCAGAAATAATTGTGTTTGTAGTTAGTACCGGGAAGTGCATGTCGTTATTGTAAGTAATTGAATGAAGAGGGAAATAATCAATTTATTCACTTTCATTCGTTTTCAAAATAAAAACACTGGATCCATTCTTTGATTTCACAAGGTTACCTATATGAATTTTGAAAACATTCATTTTCACTTCTTGGTTATCTGAATGAGAACCATATCATAAATTCCAGTCGCAATCTGAATTTAGTTAGCCGTTATTAGATGGACGGAAGCATAGACGGAACTAGATCATAGAATATTACAAAATGAGTTAAAATGCTTTGAGCTGATAATTAGACACCAAACAGTACATTTGACATTGGTTAATCACTTGTACCGAGCACAAAAATGAAACATTGGCAACCATGTTCAACAATTTACTTTTGAACGTTATACTTGGAATTCTACGGTTCCAAATTATTACATAAGTTTATAAAATGTAACACGATGTGTGTATAATCATAATAATATATTTTAACAATGTTCTGCCAACATTAATATGTGTTTCACCACCAACGGGGAGAATAGAATTACAAGAACCAACCAAGTTAAAATGAAACCCCATAAATACGTTCGCAAGGACATACGTACTTACATTTGCTTTACCTTGACTCCCTAATTCAGAGCTACGAGGTTCGGATTCAGTCTTTTTGGGTCATCTTAAGCTAGTTCTAATTCATTCGTAATGAAGACACTAAAAAATTAAAACCATCTCTTGTCGCTACAAGCTCACCATGTACTTACATTATACCTAAGGCTCATAAAATGAATAGTAAATAGGTTCACATATTGTAAGTACCTATCTGTTAACTCGTCGAGTACCGGTTTTGTAGACACAATTATAGAACAATAGGTTGCGGTCACCGGTGACCGCTTGGTATTTGACAGTTTAATTTGACTTTGGTGTGTGTAATTTTAATGTCTGTATTCAATTTAATAATAAGTAAATAGCTAGCTTTATTCCAAGCTGAGTTGACAAACTATTCATTTTCTTTTACTTAAATTAAATTTGAATTTTTACTTTTATTTGTAAATACTTTGTTAATTAATATTTGCCTCCTGCTTAAATATGGCGGAGCTTGCAATGTATTTACCTAAGTAAACACCACATGTTATTATTGTATTACCCATATTTGCAAATATACTATACATATTTATCTATTCTCTTTTTTCACCTACTAGTGATAAAAACAATAGATTACCTTTCAACAGAAACTAATAACAAAGTCTGACATCACCCCTATTTTACCCCACCAAGATGTTATTAATAAAACCCATCAGACCGACAGTGCCAACATTAAGCACAGTAATGTATGAGTAGGTGTTCGTAATATAATACATTCATGTCATAAGTCACAACACTGGCTTATCATGTCCTGATGAATTATC